AAGTTTCTAGCCGGTTTCATCTTCTTTGAAAAAATTCGATAGAAATCCAGCCCTTTCTCGACAGAGTGGGGCAGTAAAGGGTAAATAGTGCCCAGTAACTGGTCAGTTGTCCGTCGACGATTTTCGCGACAATCAAAGAAGTTTCAGGGGTCACAACCTCGACATTGACTACAGCTACATCATCAGTTGTACCTTGTTGAATGTCCTCTTATTCAAAAATACCGTCACTGGGGCAATGTAACTGCTTTTTGGGGCTTCTCGAGGTAGATTTTTGTTTATTTCTCCAAGTTTTCGAATGACACCATTCTTCGGAGAACAGGAACGTCAAAGTTCTACTGGATTAGATTTCTCCGCTACCTTTGTTTCCCCATTTTTCCTTGTGTCAGAAGTTTCATTGTTGAGTAAGTTTCGTTTGTTCTAACCACCGAAACCAAGACGTGTCATCCTCTGTTCGTTTTTCAGAAGCATCCCAGTCTACCACAGTAAGTTAATCTAGTAATGAAAGATAACTTTGTTTTCCCGTAGCTGTAGTTTCGAGACTGTACCTTGATAGCCACCTCATACTGCCATTTCCCTATGATTGGGGTCATCCTTCACAAATAAGTGACCCTGGAAACTTAATGGATTGAAATTTGTAGCCAGACTTTTGTAACATTGTAACCGAAGGAGACTGCTGATCGCTATGTCGCAATCTTCGACTTCTAATGAAGTTGTTCTTGGCCAAATAAAAAGGGTAAAGGGCAAAGTCCCTGTCGTCAATCAATCTCGTTTTTTGAGATGCGCCCCGCACTCGACTTCCGTTTGAAATCGTGGTGGTGGTTTTTTCGTACATAGCCTATACAACGACTTGCTGTGACAATAAACAAGCGGTAGTTCCTGGTCTTCGGAAGTACCAATTAAGTGACCCTCAATAGATTAAAGAATTGGTTGACTTGGGCGGATATCAGTCCAGGATTCAATCTCCAAACCATATGTGTAAAGTGAGTGAGCAGGTCACTTACCGCAACACCACCTCCTTCCTTCATGGTAATTCCGGTATCTTCTCCCCGGTCGCTTCGCGTTCGCCGCATCCGATCGCACGCACTCGCGCGCTTTGAAGGAAGACGTTTGAATTCCCAGTGCAAGGATAGGGTAACCGTCGCGTGACCTTTGCCGGTTGCCGTGAGAATTCAGGGAGAAGTTCTGGCACCCCTTCATGGCCAGCTCTCCATTACTCGTTACTTCGTCCTCTCCATTTCTGCTCGACACATCATGGCACATTACTTGCTCTGGTCCAGCCTAAGCGACGCAAGTGGGTGCATATATTTAATAAACTTCTTATGTTTCACCTGGGGAGGCAAGGGACTAATGGAACCGTTGTCATGGCTAAAAAAGAAAGGGAGTAAAAACACCTTTGAAAAGCTGAGAAAAACTAATCGAGTAATTCAGGCAAAACTTTAAGTAGTGGAGCATATTACTGTAAAATCCCTCCATTGTTTTGGTGAGAGAGCACAGACAAAAAGTTGAAAACTCGAACTCTAAACTCATGTCGAACGTATACTTTGCCCGTATCTCGTACTTACAAATCCATAGTGATTTGGCATAAATATTTATTGATGAGAAGCAATTCGGACGGATATTAATTGCAAGTCATATGCAAGCCTGGTAAAAATTCAAAACCATCTTAATAATCTCCCTTGTTCACAAGGTTAGGATTAGTTAGTTTTTCAATGTCCATATTGCCATTTTTGGACGTCATTTGAAGCAGCTTCTGGTCTCTCCCTCGAACCCACAGCACAGCTGCTACCTTTTCGCCTTCCCAAACTGGACAGGCACCATGAAGACTTCTAGGATCCTGTAAAGTTTCGACAAAATAACAGGCGCTCTGTCTACAAAGTTTTTATAAGATTGTGTGGATAGTGCTGTACATCAAGATTACCCTGGCTCCCACTACATATCCCCCTCTACCCTCCATCTCTATTACTACCACTCCCCCTTTTCCTCCTCCCATCGCTAACTATATGGGTCTCATCAGAAAACAATTACAGCCCGACCCTCCCGGTAGTGCTATAATCGTTTTGCTCAGTCAGGTTCCAAGCCTGATACCCTCCAATTCACAGCTCAGTATGCGTCAAATTCCAAGAATCCTGTAATTTTTCTAATTCCCAGTCAAAGATATTTTCGCCATCGAAAGCCATTTTCGCTAATAAGGGTTACAAGAGATTTAGGATTGGTCAAGATTATTCTGGTATACCTGCTCCTCATAGACATTTGTGTTAGTCCAAAAAATTGCATCTCCAGCTGATGGCATAACTGTTGTGTGAATTAACGGAAAAACAGTCCCTGCAATGTATAGGTGCTATTTGAGGTTTCCGTTTTTTGAGGTTGAGAAGCCCTATTGAAATGAGCCCCTTTGTCTAACTTCCATTCAAAATCGTTAATAGTAGCACGTCACTCTGCACTACAATAACTATACCCATGCTGGATGGTAATTTAAGTAAATACCTGGACTTAAAGGCTACGCACGTGGCTATCTTAATCCTATCGTATCACTTTATCACACCCACTTGTTGAAGAAGGTGTTTGTTCTATGAGTGATCATATGAGGGAAAGCTCGTTATTTCCCCACTAACCAGTCAGAACCAAGAGTGCGTAAATGGGTTTACACCACTAATTGAGCGAATTAGGAGCTTTTGCGGTGAAGGTGTGATGTTCATCCAGCGGGTTCAGAAATCAGAAAAAAGGTCAATGCTAATGTCGCTCTTTGATGCCGAAAACCTAAACAAAAGAGAGCAGCAGATACGGGAGATGAAGCCTTTCACATACTGCTTTAATTCCATGGTTATATTCGGATATCACGGCGGAAGGGAGCTGTTGGACGAGTTTGCTTTGCTTGGCACATTCTGAAACTGTGTGAGTAGACGACAGCTTTGCTCCCAATTATATTTTTCGGTGCCACTGCAGCAGATTACATTAACACGACGCGGTCCCACGTCAGCTGTACGGCGCTACGTCTCTCCCCGGGCTATCGCCGGAAGGCCGTTACACAAGCGGCCTTGGGGACAGTACTGCTTAGGACAAGTTTTGATTACCTGCGCTGGCCGTTTAGAGTCACAGCCCACGATGAAACTAACTTCAGAGCTTTTCCATTAACGGGGATCATTGGGCCTTGAGAAGAACAAGGTCCATAAGTTAGGCTTGCGGACGTTGTCGGGAAGAAAATCAACCGATCTAGGTAGCAATAAAGGTACGGGCTACAGGACCATACTCCCATGAAAACAGCAGTTCAATCAGTGAAGCCTGTTTGCACCTGATATTCGTTACTCTGCAACTTCTGAAACCTCGTCCAATGATCCGTCATCATGACCTCGTCCAACAGGAATGAATTCCAAGGATTTCCCCTTCTCTCCGCCGCCGATATACCGTCAGCACTTGTAACACAATCAGGTTAAACCCAATAAAGGTAAATGGAATCATCTCGATTAGTCCCTTACACAGGTACACATAATCTCCCCATGAGTGCATTGTAGAGGGTCACGAAATACTATGCCTCACTATATATTTGAGAGGCCATTAAAAGTAATCCTATGGAAATGGTCATTCCTTGAGCAGTACTCAAAGGCACAATTCACGATAGCTTTAGGGCACCCGAACGAAAACTTAAGTGTTAATCGGGAGTATTGCATCGGTGGTGGAGAAAGCGAGAAAATTCGCCGATTTCGTGAGAAATAAGCCTCCCATAAGTGGTGAAAATAGAGGTTGCAAGAGATTACCGCGACAGAAATGGCATGGAAGAGGTATCTGGACGGGATTGAAGTTGTTACCATTGCGCAAAGAGCTAACTACATCAAGCCATCATTGTCCAGAATTGCCTTCACTGTCGCTATGGGTCATGGAAAATCGTTTGAACTCCTTACATGGGTTCCCTTGTGAATGGTGCAGCCTTTGCAATGCCGTTGAAACTCGCCCGAAGATACACACGGTGCAATCTTTGAGCCTTTATAACGCCCTATATGAGCCGTTTTCCGACCTGATAGCGCCACATACGGTTTACGGCGGGTCCACAGATTTATCCTAACGAGATACCTTATAGACCACTTTTATCTAAAACGGTGCCTTGAACCTTGAACCTGAGATTCTTTGTGGATTGGTGGTATCAAATAAGTGGAGGATTATGAAAGAATGATCAACTATCAGTTCCTATCCCGTTATACTGACTTTCTACGATTTTGCAAATCTCATCAGGACTAGGATCCCTCTGACATGCACTTTTGTCACTAAGCTTTTTCTCGATGACGGAAGTATTGTTGGCCAATTCTTTGCTAACCTCCTCCTTTCGTTGCCGGTTGAAGCATTACAAGGAACGTCGCAAATCGTTCTCCGTACATCACTTTCCAATAGTCCCATTGCTTTGGTGATTGGTATTCGATGTAATCATGATGAGGTGCATAGTGTCCTCCACGACGATAGAAGAGAATCTGACTTGTGGCGATCTTTTGAAAGTTTTTCTTGCTTTGTTCTCTAGGTGATTGATTTTAAGAATTTCACTCCAAAACATTCACCTGCCATGGCTCTCCGTGAAACCTAACAAAGGGTATCATCGCCTTCACTCTTTTGAATAGTTTTGCAATCCCAGCACTTCCTTCATGGTCACTCCACGTGCCGTTGGCTTTTCTACCCGTGTATTCATAGTCTATTGAAATCGTATCTTGTATATCCATTGCGGCCTGAAGACTAACGTTTCCTCGATGTAAGATTGGCAGTCGAAGTCGGAAATGGTAACCCTTCAGGCGTTAAGTGCTACCAGTAATTCATAGAGTGGTGCCACAATGGCAGATAAAGGTAGAACTAATAAGTGTTTCAATGTTAATCGAATCGTTTATGGGATGCACCCAGCATTCGACTTTTATTCAAAATCACAGTGGCTTTTGCACACGCATGTGGCCTATACATTGAATAGCCGTGGCAAGCCGATGTGAAAGTCAACGCTATTACCCTCCCAAACGAGTCCGTAATCCGATCTCGGGGATGAAATGGTTGGTTGGCACAGGCCACTACCGAATCGGGATCCAATCGCTGCATTATGTGTATTCGGTTTGGGGTCTGGCTTGCCTGGGGCTCACTCATTCGAATCCGGTACTCGATTCTAGGGCTATGCGTGTAACTTGGCCCTACACCACCACAGCGCTGCTCTCAAAACTCAAAGGGTGGAGTATAAACCATCGAGAAAGCAGTCGTTGACTCTAACCTGTTGATAGAGTTGAAGTTGTCTGGCATCTGCTATGAAATCGGCCACCTGTTTCGCCGAGGCTAGGTTCCGGTAGACAATAAGGATAGGGTCTTCACTTAATACTTCAACGTTCAATCTTTGATAGTTGAAAACATGAGTGTAGCAGAATAGCGCTGTAATAGAGCTGATATCAGGCTGGTAAGAAAGTCTTGAACCGAGCCATAGAAAATTTCGGCTTTACCAACAAGGGTGATATTTACTCACACTCATTTAGATGACCCAATGTTTCGCATAGGTCCAAGTGAGGTTGAAGCCAGTGCTCGTCTCCAATAAAGGAAGAGTGGTTAGCAATTGATGACTGGGCCTTTCCTTCCATATAGAGTAGAAATAGAGGGATGTGTAGAAATTTTGAGCACATGACGTAGTGCCTGAAAATAATGAAATTTGGGATCGCTTAGTCGGTAATTATCCTGCGCAGTCGCTGCATAATGCAAGCCTCATGTACGACTCGGGATTAGCTTTTTCGTTCTATTCGGCCACATTTGGCCTTTTTGCGCCATGTAGTCGAATCCTACTTATGTCCCCATCGCTCGATTGTGTGAATCAGGAAAGTGTTGCAGTAAGGTAATTAGTCGAAAGCCGCCCGGATCAACCACACCAAGTGATTTCGACCTCTATAGTTAACACTTTCTCTTGTACACTGCACAAGGTGCTTTGCTGGAAATCCGTAAACGGGGCCAAGTGCTAGAAGGCCGATTGGTTGTGGTTAATGACTTCCCACATACATGGTACTACCATGTCAACCTACCGCTGTAACCTTCCTCACACTTATATTTGGTCGTCGTGAGCGTTGGGACACAAACACTCTGCTACATATTGCTCTAAACTACTCCTTCATCCATTCTTATCTCAGGGAGGG